GGACGTCCACGTGTGACGTCACGTCAACAGGACAACCATATTCGGCTTGTCCATTTGAGAAATCGCTTCCAAACGGCAAGTTTGACTGCACGGACAATCCCTGGGTTGCTACCAATAAGCCCGAGAACTGTACGGAATCGATTGCGTGAACGAGCTATCCGTCCGCGACGTCTTGCAATCCGCCCAGTTCTTCTGCCACGTCATCGTGTAGCACGTCTGGACTGGTGCAGAAGGCATCTGCGATTTACTCGACGGGATTGGGCAGGCATTTTGTTTACGGACGAGTCGCGGGTTCACCTGGATAGTAGTGACGGCCGTTCCAGAGTGTATCGTCGCATTGGAGAACGTTTCCGTGACGCGTGTGTGTTACAAAGACGTTCTTTCGGCGGAGGCAGCGTTATGATTTGGGGCGGCATCACTGCCAATTGGAGAACGCCTCTGGTGGTTATTAACGGGAATTTAAACGCGCTACGTTACCGTGACGAGATCATTCGGACCCACGTCGTTCAATTCGTGCAAGGGCAGCAACGGCACATTACGCTACAGCAGGACAACGCCAGACCTCACACAGCTCGTGTCGCTATGGACTTTCTGGCCCAGCAGAACGTTGCCGTGTTGCCCTGTCCTGCTGTATCCCCCGATCTGTCGCCCATTGAACACGTCTGGGATGAAATGAAGCGCAGATTACGGGCATTACCTAATCAACCAGTGACGTTGGCTGATTTGCCTGCAGCGTTGGTACAGATCTGGAATGCCATCCCACAAGCATTCTTGAACCGTCTGATAGGCTCCATGCGTCGACGTTGCCAGGCTTGCATTCAGGCAAACGGTGGACATACGTGGTATTAACTTTGTGAACTCAGTTTTGACCCCTGCTGTGTTTACGTCACTCCTGAGCGGAACGTATTGATTCCATAACGTGGAAAATGGAATGCAACTGTTAATAAATAACAAATAAATTGTCCCTGAAAACCTTGTTATTCTATGTCATACACATTTATTTTCATAACACATTTTAGACATGCACAGTTTCTTTTTCCCGCTAGTATATGTATGAGTTTACTTACGGATCCCTGTACCACAGATACACAGAAACACAGCTTTTATTCTGACTCTAGGAATGTTTACATTTCCTCGGCTGTCAGTTTTATTATATAAATAAAGGTTGGTTGATATTATAAAGGGCTATGGCGGGAAACTGCCCGGATTTTCCTAAGTCGGCATTTTTTAAAACGGAAAAAAAAAATTGATGAGTTAATAATCTTTAGTAGCAAAAATGCATGGAATAAATATAAAACCAATTGAATATGAATTTTTGAACTGTAGAGATATTCGGTATTGTTAATATAATACTGCAAATATAGCCATATTCACTATATCTATGAAAGTGAAGGGGTTTCCTAAAAAAATACTTTCAAATACTTTCCCATCCGAGGACCAACTTTTTAATAAACTTTTTGATTCCATGTGTAATATGTAAAAACAAATCGTATGACGGAAAAGTGGTCCTCCTTTGGGAAAGTGCTCAAAATAATGAAAAACTGGGTTGATCAAGTTTTTAAAACTGCGACAGATGTTTCTTGGGTTAAAGCAGTTTGTATTTCCGTTTTTGTCTATGTCCGATGTAGCCTAATGTGTAACGCAGAAAATGTGAACAGTGTAGGTTCGAATCCACATTCATATACACATTTTTTAATTTTTTTTTTAATATCTAGGCATGTGATCATTTTCCTTAATTAAGTGAAAAATATTTTTCAAATCAATAGAACATTTTATTGATATTTAAATAACATACCTATTGATTTATCTTCTATGGAATCATGTCAACAAATCCCTGTATGCGTGTACTGTACAGCTACGTTTTGTAGTTGAGACATCATTTCAAATATTTATGAATTATTTTACCCTCCAATTGGCACTAGTATTTTTATTCATTATCTTAACGCAAACAAACGATGTCGAAATACAAAATATATGGGATTGTTACGTCAGAATAAAAACAAAGGCAAAGCAAAATAAATGAAATGTTATTATCACAGACATTACCGAACATGCGGGAAAATTCATCGTCGAGGTCAGTCTCATTTGTTTTAAATGCAGGAAGACTGCAGCCCAAAGTTAGGAGCGCAGTACACGTGTAAGACATGCAATTCGAAAACTATATGTAATTTTATCATTCCAAGGTAAAGGAAGAACAAAATCAAGATGTGTGCTTTTAAGAAAACATGTAACGGCATGCCGTAGGCAGTAGTAATGAAAACTAAATCCTTTCAAACTTGTTGGTAATGATTGTAAGATCTGGTGTTTTATATAGCATAACGCGAAATACGCATTTTGTTGAGTCTTTATCGTGAAACGCATGTATTAGTAGCCATGGCCTTGAATTCGTCTGTTTACAATATTATATTCTTAGACACGGGATTCCGATAGAGCTACCTGTATAGAAATACCCGAGGACGCGTCATAACAGTGCACGATTGGAAGCGCGCACTGTAGCGGATCATTATGGCAAGCCAACTTAACATTTATTCAAGGAGCAATGTCGATCCTGTATTTCATCGAATTATATAAGATATCTTATATCGTATATAAGATATCTCATTTAATTTTCTATATAAGATATCTTATATAATATATAAGATATCTTTATTAATTAAAGTCTCGTAACTAAATAAGATCTCTTATATAGGAACGAGATTTTAACAAAATGTGGAAAAATGAAGTCTCCCAGTCCGGAATATCTCGAGGATCTACGTAGGGACAGTAGGCTTGTTGTAACAACACGTGTTTCTGTCGCCGCCATTTTGTCTGAGCCCACTTCAAGAGTGCGGGAAATGGCAGCCTCTGCTTTGGCCGCTATAAGATATCTCATATAGCTATATTATAAGATATCTTATATAATTGAAATATCGTTGCTTTATAAGATATCTGATATAGAATGAGATTTCGTGGCATTAAAAAGCAGAAACTAATTTCTCCCTCGAGAATCATTCGGAGCACATTCAGGATTGCATTGGGCGCAATTGCGGAGAGGGATGGTACGGATGTTGTATTTTCCCTAGGCCTAGCTCGCCTTGTCTCTCTTATAACGGCCAAAGCAGAGGCTGCCATTTCCCGCACTATTGAAGTGGGCTCAGACATAATGGCGGCGACAGGAACACGTGTTGTTACAACAAGCCTACTGTCCCTACGTAGATCCTCGAGATATTCCGGACGGGGAGACTTCATGTTTGACATTTTGTTAAAAACTCGTTCATATATAAGATATCTTATTTAGTAACGAGACTTTAATTATATAAGATATCTTATATACTATATGAGATATCTTATATATTATACAAGATATCTTATATAGAAAATTAAACGAGATATCTTATATACGATATAAGATATCTTATATATCATATAAGATATCTTATAGAGCATCTCATTTAATTTCTATATAAGATATCTCATATAGTATATAAGATATCTTATATATTATATAAGATATCTCATATATGAGATATCTTATATACGATATAAGATATCTCATATGCTATATAAGATATCTTATATATTTTTTTGAAATACAGGATCGACATTGCTCCTTGAATAAATGTTAAGTTGGCTTGCCATACAGAGTATCTACACGCAGCACCAACGTCTATTCTATATATAAAAGGTACTCTGTAAATGTTTAAACTGGTATCGTGAACACTTAACACATACTACCATGTACTACCACGTATGTTGTATTCACAAATCATCCCACAAGTCATCCAATTTCAATTATTTTGAACAAAGATAGCATCTACCTACCTTGCCTTCTGGACTACACGTTCGAATTTGGCTAGCTCCCATGCGAATGTCCCATCCTTTGAATGTAAGGCGTAGTATATTCTCCCTATCGTAGTATCAGTGAAACATAAACTCCCTGTCAATGTTAGTTACTGTAGCAGTACAGAACACCAGGATAACAACCCAGATACAAGTGTAAACGGAAAACAACTGAGGCTCGCATCGTCTGTACGTGATCTAACGGGAAAGGCTCAAGTAGATGGATCATTTCAAGTTCTAAAAAAATGATAAATATCATATTTTTTAAGAATATATTTGCATGATTATTCTTATTGGAGCTAAACGTGTAGTGAACCAATAGTTTGGGTGAACCAACAAAAGGATGTTGACTCTGCTGGTAAACTATCAGTCCCTGAGGTTGACCGTGCTCTGCTGTTTGACTATCAGTCCCCGAGGTTAGCCGTACTCTGCTGATGAACTATCAGTCTCTGAGGTTGGCCGTACTCTACTGGTGGACTATCAGTCCCCGAGGTTGGCCGTACTCTGCTGGTGAATTATCAGTCCCCGGGGTTGGCCGTACTCTGCTAGACGACTATCAATCCCCGAGGTTGGCCATACTCTGCTGGTGGATTATCAGTCCCTGAGGTTGGTCGTGCTCTGCTGGTGAGCTATCAGGCCCTGATGTTGGCCGTACTCTGCTGGTGGAGTATCAGTACCTGAGGTTGGCCGTACTCTGCTAGTGGACTATCAGTCCCCGAGGGTAATTGTACTCTGCTGTTTGACTATCAGTCCCCGAGGTTGGCCGTACTCAACTGGTGGACTATCAGTCCCTGAGGTTGGCCGTACTCTACTGGACGACTATCAGTCCCTGAATTCTACCGTACGCTGCTGGTGGACTATCAGTCCCCGAGGTTAATTGTACTCTGCTGTTTGACTATCAGTCCCCGAGGTTGGCCGTACTCTGCTAGACGACTATCAGTCCCCGAGGTTGGCCGTACTCTGCTGGTGGACTATCAGTCCCCGAGGTTGGCCGTACTCTGCTGGTGGACTATTAGTCCCTGAGGTTGGCCGTATTCTGCTTGACGACTATCAGTCCCTGAGTTAGACCGTATTCTGCTGGTGGACTATCAGTCCCCGAGGTTGGCCGTACTCTGCTGGTGGACTATTAGTCCCTGAGGTTGGCCGTACTCTGCTGGTGGACTATCAGTCCCCGTGGTTGGCCGTACTCTGCTGGTGGACTATCAGTTAATATATTGTTCGGTTCTTACGGATTGTGTTCGTAGGAGTGGTGCTTCTTAATCGTTTAACATACACTTTACATCATACAAACTCATTTTCTCTGTGGAAAGCAGAGCTTAGTAAAAGTAAATAAACCTTTCTTTTTAAATGTCAGTTGTTATTGTAATTTATTTATTCTTTTATTTTTAGAATATAATAACTCATCTTAAATGAATACTACTCGTATATCTGCAGAATTCACAACTTCTTGACTAAAACGTGAAGTGCGTATAGAGCTTACACTTAACTTTTGACAGTAATCATGTACGTTGTCATCAATGTCAACTTTATTTTATTTGTCAAATTAAAATAGCCCAGTTTTCCACTTATTCACAGTTAATCATGCCTTCCTTGAATTAAGTACAAAGGAAATGATGACAAATCACATATTTGGTTGTATGCACTTTGTGATGTTGCCATTCTAACAAACAAACTGAGAGAAAACCAGCAAATCGTTAGTAAATACATTCACAGTTTACATAAGGCGGAAGTAAATAACAGGGGTGGGATTTATACACTTGAAAAATGTCATTCTTCCAAGTTTTACTGCGCAATGTGTTTATCATTCGAGAACCATCGGCACTTTCTAGGGTCCCTGACTGGTGTTTGATTGAGAGGTTTTCTGCATAGACGTATATCACATAATATATAATATATAGGTCTCTGTTTTCAGCCTTTCTTAATGACCCTAGTTAAGATTGTCAAGTAAAATGTTTGTAAAATACGAATTTTAATGGCATTTTCGTTGGGCTAGGTGACCTAACAAGAGATCCCAGAGGGATCTTGGCGCCCACCATTGTACCATCTTCATTAGTTCTTTGTCAGTTCGATCTTTTCTCTTCTTTCCTCTAATCTCTTTGATCGGGTCATGTTAACAGTAAATGCACCTTGAGGTAACTTTTGATCTAAACTTAATACTGATGTGTATGAAAGCCAACCTTCAAAGTGAGTTTGTCATTTCACATATTTACTAGTACAGTACTTAATGTGAACGAAATAGAATCGATCATTGCAATATGAGAAAGATCTGTTTAGTTCTTCCTTTAGCCATTTTGTTTTTATGATCAGTCTCAAAATATAACATGCACAACGAGGGATCAAGGGGAACCTACATATAAAATTTAAGAAAGTTCCCGCAGGTTATTCCTGAGAAATAGTACGAACAAACCTTCATTGCCTGGCCCCAATTATTATTTTTTTGGGCAAATGACATATTGGTGGCCCCAATAATTTTGGGAAGAAATATTTCCACAGCATTTAACATAATGCTTCAGCACATTTAGATTACATATAATATGACAATGTTTGTAATATGTAAAACAGAATAAAACATTATATTCTTCAACCCCAGTTAAAACCTGACATGATCCACTCCATTCAGGTCTTCCCAAAAAGAAATACACAAAACTCGCACTTCAAAGAAGACACACTGGCAGTATTCATATAGAAAATCTGAAAAGAAAATCATCACATTTTCTAAATCACGGACAGTTCGATTCAAAGCGAAGTAATGACAACTGAAAAATGTACTGCACCCAGTTAATGTGGAAGGGACTATAATTTCTTTTATTCATTAAGTTTTTGACAGTCACCCAAACTATTTTTGTTGGGCCAGTGACTACCTCACTTTTGACAACTTTTGGTAGCTCGAGCAAGACTTAAACCACCATTGGCGAGCAGGCGACCGTCCATTTCAGGCACTGCTGCACAACAAGAGAACAAGGGGAACCTACATATAAAATTTGAGAAAGATCCCTGTGGTACTTCCCGAGAAATAGCGATAACAATCTTTCATTATCAAAATCCAAGATGGCTGCCTGTCGGCCATGTTGTTTATCCAATCAGTCTCAAAAATTGCCCTGCAAAGCTTAGTACCAAGTGGAACCTACGTATTAAATTTGAGAGAGATCCCTTTGGTACTTCTTTAGAAATAGTGATAACAAACTTTCACAATCAAAATCCAAGGTGGCTGCCTCTCGGCCATGTTGTTCATCCGATCAGTCTCAAAAATTGCCCTGCACTGCTAAGGACCAATGGGAACCTACATATCAAATTTGAGAAAGATCCCTTTGGTACTTCTTGAGAAATAGCGATAACAAAGTTTCACTATCAAAATCCAAGATGGCTGCCTGTCGGCCATGTTGTTTATCCGATCAGTCTCAAAAGTTGCCCTGCACTGCTAAGGACCAAGGGGAACCTACACATAAAATTTGAGAAAGATCCCTTTGGTATTTCTAATAGAAATACCGATAACAAGAACTGTTTAAGGACGGACGACGGACCATGGACACAGGGTGATTTGAATAGCCTAAAAATGAGAGTTTGCCAAATCCTATCAACCTATAGTTTCCAATACAGTTTGATTTTTTCGGTTGCTTCGTGTTAATCGAGGCCGGAGGAAAAGCTTCAAAATGATGCTGATCAAATTGCGTTCATAGCTCTATGAACGCAGTTTCTTCTATTAATGCTTCTATATAGGAACTTGCAGTGGAAACGTTAATATACAATAACTTAAAACGAATAACTAGAGGTAAACGATTTTCATAACAAGAGGCCCATGGGCCTTAACGGTCACCTGATATATTTATACTGAGAGTTGATTTTTGTTTTTAACATGAACAGAAATATTATTCAAAGTGACAAAAAACAAAAAAAACACCTTATTCAATATCTAGCATGCAGATTTAAGACTGAAAAGTATTTGAAACTAGCACCTCTGATTCTAAACAAGGAAAATGAAGAAATTTTATTTTAGCACACAGACTCCATTTGGCCCCACCCTACAGCCCTTGGGGTTAGGGAACGCTCAAAATTTACAAAGTATCAAACTGTCAACTTAGGGTTATAATTCCAATCAAGTTATCAACATGTAATATTCAAAGTAGCATTTGCCATTATAAACCATAACAAATTTTGCCCCCCCCCCCTCCTTCTCCAGGGGGAAACGCGAGACCCCAGGCTCATGAAATTCACATACTATCAAACTGCTATCCAATACTGATAATTCTAACCCAAATTGAATTACTTCCAATGGCAATTAAACAAATGTTTGTCCAAAATGTGATTTCCCTATGTAAACTATAGTAAAGTTTACCCCCTCCCCAGGGGGAAACGTGAGACCCCAGGGTCAAGAAATTCACAATTTCGGTAAAGCACCTTAAGACCCTTCCATCTATGAAGAGTATTTGATTCTACCATATCTGGGTCTTGAGAAGAAGATTTTTGAAATTTCAGTCAATTCAACCCTTTTTGGCCCCACCCATCAGCCCCTGGGGGTCAGTCAGGGCTCATAGGTGCATACTATCAAACTGCTACCTAATACTGATAATGCTAACCCAAATTGAATTACTTCCAATGGAAATTAAACAAATGTTGGTCCAAAATGTGATTTCCCTATATAAACTATAGTAAAGTTTACCCCCTCCCCAGGGGGAAACGTGAGACCCCAGGGTCAAGAAATTCACAATTTCGGTAAAGCACCTTAAGACCCTTCCATCTATGAAGAGTATTTGATTCTACCATATCTGGGTCTTGAGAAGAAGATTTTTGAAATTTCAGTCAATTCAACCCTTTTTGGCCCCACCCATCAGCCCCTGGGGGTCAGTCAGGGCTCATAGGTGCATACTATCAAACTGCTACCTAATACTGATAATGCTAACCCAAATTGAATTACTTCCAATGGAAATTAAACAAATGTTGGTCCAAAATGTGATTTCCCTATATAAACTATAGTAAAGTTTACCCCCTCCCCAGGGGGAAACGTGAGACCCCAGGGTCAAGAAATTCACAATTTTAGTAAAGCACCTTTTGACCCTTCTATCTATGTAGAGTATTTGATTCTACCATATCTGGATCTTGAGAAGAAGATTTTTGAAATTTTAGTCAATTTTACCCTTTTTGGCCCCACCCCTCAGGCCCCTGGGGGCTGGGGACCATATAATTCACAATTTCAGTTGACCTTTGGCCATGGAAGGTTTCTGCAAAATTTCATTGAAATTGGTTTAGGGGTTTTGGAGAAGAAGTCGAAAATGTAAATTGTTTACGGACGCACGAGGGACGACGGACGACGACGGACAAAAGGCGATCGCAATAGGTCACTTGAGACTTTGTCTCAGGTGACCTAAAAATTCAATTAAAGGCCAATATTACGAAAACATATTCCCCATTATTCGTTATTAGACCTAGAACTCAAGCCAATCGGGAACCGTCGGCACTTTCTGCACTATTTTTTCGTTTACGGAAAGTGCCGACGGTTCCCGATTGTCGTCGCAAGTACGATAGTTTTAGGGAAAAGCAAAGTGATCAATACTAAGCTAAAAAGATGCTTAATTATGCAAATCAACTAGCTACTAATTCAATCAAAACACTTTTTGGTGCGTATACAGGTTTAACAGGAAAATTGGTTTCATTCACAAAAGATCATATTTGATCTTTGAAATAATTAAACATCCCTGGAAATAAGGACAGAAATCAGATGTTTATTTTTACGTGAAGTATGACTGGTTGGGGTTTTAATGTTCTACCTTTTCTTTATTCACCAAAACTATCTAACTGATTAACCGTACATTAACCTTATGTAAGTTGGCCGCTAGCCACATTCTTATGTGTTGATGTGGCGTTAACGTTCATGCATAGGACCGATGTGTTATTGTCAATAATCAAAGCGACAAATGGATAAATTACTTGTCGTCACTTTTTGTTTGTTAACAGCTATGGTCATTTAAGTACGTGCCAGGTTTTGGTGGTGGAGGAAAGACGGAGTTCCCGGAAAAAAAACACCTTGACATCACAGACTTAGATAACTAATCTTATTCCGTGGCGGTATCAGCTAAAATTAAGCTGACATTTTTTTTCTTATAAAATATTTGTTTAAATGTTTACACTAATAACTCAAATTTTACATCCAAATAAATGGTTATTTTCATCAAAGTACTAATGATTGAAATGTTATTGCTATAATGGACACAATATACTCCATTCATCACCTTTTTTTATTTTCAACATCACTGTTCCAATCCAGGCAAAACACATGAGCAAAAAATTCCACTGCAGGTTTTATACATACAGTTGCCTCCCCTTAATTTTCTAGAAGGTTGAGGTCGTGTAATTTAGTTGTTGGCTTACTGTATATAAGCGTTCGCCCAGGTGAGGAAGGCAATGGGTTCTGTCCCCATGCCGGGACATACCAAAGTCCTTAAAAATGGTAGTTGTTATTACCTGCTTAATGTTCAGCATTAGGGGAATGGCAACATGTACAACTGGTTCACCCGTTGTCAGTATAATGTGACCGGGCGGAATGCTGTGCTGGGCAAAGGTGCTCGGGTTCTGGATATTTATTAGTATAAGGGGGTGCGATAATATATCACATATCCAGAACCCGAGCACCTATATGGTGCTGGGTGCCTTCAGCATGGCATTTCAGTGAGATAGCACCGCGCTATCACAAGGAGGCAGGAACACCATTTTACCCTGTCTCCTGCATACACACGCGCAAGCACGCATACACTACATACACGGATGCACATCCTGAAATGAAGTTAGCTGTTAATAGGACGTTAAACCAAATTAAACCAAAGTAAGGGTGCAATCTCCTGTGTGTCTGTATTACCTTCATATTTCAAGAGAGAAGTAAAGAAAAGACACACCTTCACCTACAATGAAAGTTAACATTGAGGAATACTTAAGGCAGTAGTACCTGTATGTACATGTGTTAACTGTTAACACCTGAATCACAGACAAAATAGGTACAGGTATGAAATGGAAGTATATGTAGTATACAAACAATCAATTATTTTTTAAAACACAAATTAAAATAAATAAAAAGATCATAAGCTTGTTTTTCTTTTTTATTTATGTAAATTATCCCTCATTGTAACACTGTTAAACCGACACACTCGGTGAAATTGAAAATAAAAAAAGTTGGACAGCAAATCTTAGAGAAATAAAATAATCTATCCTTTCCTTTCTCCAGGTTCTACTGACCTACATAAATTAATCTTGTTTTCATCTGCGAGTTGAACTACACAGTGTGGTCCTGGGTCATGCCAATGTTACAATATTTCAATTCAGTATAATTCTTAACAAAAACAAATCTCTACGAGACAAAACCTGTTCCAACTTTAAACATATTAGTCAAACATGTACATAATACAGTTAAACTTCATTCAGAGACCGGCTTCCGAAAGTCGATAGTGTGGTCTCTTTCTGCAGGTGGTCTCTTTATACAGGTTCACTTAACATGAAAATGACTGCAATGGGGAATGTTTTTATAAGTGATCGCATTAAACATGCAGTCTCTTTACCCTTTCATCTCTATATAACTTAAGTAGACTCTATCTACTGTGCATTGATTTGGAGGTATGCAAGGGTGAAAGGGTTAATAGAGGTGGTCTCTCCAGCAGGTTCCACTGTACCCCTCCTTCTCTCTCTCCCCTCCCACCAGTAACTGGATACTATATTCCCATGTCACTTAATTTTTGCTTTTGTGCTTCAAGTTTTTTTTTTATTGTGACTTTGATTTGAGAAATACACAGTAGCAGATACAACTGCAAGTGTCTCTCTTTCCTTCTCTCTCATTTTCTCTCTCTCTCTCATCCAACCAGTAACTGGATAATATATTACAGTGTTACTTAATATTCACTATTGTGCTTCAAGTATTTTTAATCGTGATTTTGATTTGAGAAATACACAGTAGGAGATATGATTGTTTTTCTTTATGTGTAATGAATTGTTTCAGGGATACCCTTCATGTAGCTTGAATGCATATTGATGTTTTGGGAATGAATGACTGGATGCTGTTTTGAGAAAATGTTTTACTTGTCCACTAAGGGAGGGATCCAGGTATTTTTAGTCAGTACCTTTCTGTCAAAAAATGGGAAAGATGTTTGTATCAAATTGTTTTCAGGCAGACCATAGACACTTGTGATTTGGTCAATTTGGCAACAAGTAGGGCTGCAACGGTACACTAGCAAGACGATACGATTTGAGTCACGATACTGTGGTCATCATGATACATAGCGTAACAGTAAAAGCAAAGCGAAAAGACATGTTGCAAATTTTTAATGGCAATATTCCACCAGGAAATAGGCTTGGTCCAAAAGGGGGCATGACTTTAATGTTTCACACACTTCACGTCTTTCGACGTGCATGCCGAGCTGGAGCTGGCCATGTTGGAAGCGATATGAGTAGACTAAATTCAGAAATGACAAAATCTGGAAAAAACATTATAGGTGTATTGTGACCTCCAAAAATATAATGCGTATCATACCGTATTCATAATGATGTGATAAATTGTCGTACACTATATCGTTTCAGCCCTTGTGACAAGTGTACATGTATCAAACATACTGTTCTTGTACAACCGGTGAAATATTTAGGTGGAAATGTTCAGCCAGTTGCTGTTAAAAATAAATTCATTTGAGAGTTAAAAAATAATGAAAAATATTGTTCATTATGTGTTTGTTCTTTACTTTTGTTTTGTTTGTTTGTTTTGTCACTCTGCTTATCAAAACTAAATATCGTAAAAGGAGACCTGTTGTCAACGATTTTACTAATATCAACACACTCCATATCTATGAGATTTAATTATATTTTGTACATGAATAATGTATATATTTCATAAATCCTCGCTATACTGGCCCTCATTTCAGATGCCCTCTTGTTTACTGCCAACATATTTCAATGTCCTTTTCTCTTGTTTTATAAAATACATACATTTCCCTCAATGTACCACCATCCCCCTTCATAATGCCAAAATGTCTCTACACAAATGGTGGCAGTATAACAAGATTTTATTGAATGTTATAAAATATCATTATTTACATAATGTCATCTTTATTTTTATCATCTCCTTAACACCAAGCAGATAAAGGTTTAACATAGAAATATATTAATCCTGAATAAATATATATTCTGTAAATTTAATTTACGTTAAGTATGTATATTCCCTCATATATACAAATTACATATATTCATAATAGTTGATTATTTACAAAATCAAAAAAATAAATATTAAAAAAAGAGAGGATATTAAAAATGTCCAACAATCTATTCTAAACTTGATACAGTTGGAAGCAAACTTAACTTGGTAGCCTAGTACACTTGAGTTAACAACTAAGAAATGTGAACTCCAGTGCACATGCTTGTGAACTGGAGTTAACACTTAAGTCAGTGAACTGGAGTTAACATTTAAGTGAACTGGAGTTAACACTGTAGTGCACTGGAGTTAACACTGTAGTGCACTTGAGTTAACACTTAAGTCAGTGAACTAGAGTTAACACTAAAGTGACTGGAGTTAACACTGTAGTGCACTGGAGTTAACACTGTAGTGAACTGGAGTGCACTACAATTTTTTGTCTAGTGCACTACATGTTCACTACAAAGTGCACTAGATACCAAGTTAAGTTTACTCCCAACTGTATCTTCAAAGACTTAACATGAAGACAAACAATTCTACAGATAGGGCAACATTCATATATGCATGAGCAGACAATTTTCCTTTTTTAAGTACTAGGCTACATTTTGAAAAATAATCTTTTAGCCCTACCTATATTTTCATAGAAAATATGGAATTTGTTTCTGCAAAAAAAAATTTTTTACAAAATAAACTTGTCGAAGGCTTCAGGTTAGCAGAAATGTACATCCCTGTGTTTACTTTACAAGGTTATGGCATACTTTTATATTATTTGTACATATTAATGTTTTGCAATACATAAAAGCTCTTAGGCCTTTGTATGCAAATGAAAACAAGAAGTGTGAAATAGCTTTAAAATGTGTCTCAATATATATACTCACATGAATTTCAACTTGTGAATTTTGTTTCAGGGGAAAAAATGTGAAAGTTTAACCCTGAAAAAGTCCATGGCTCTATACAGTAAAGATGTTTCTAAAATCAAAGCATTGAAAAGATTAAGGTAAATTTGTACCAATATGACATTCTTTACGACTGAATTCAGACCGAGCCTAATTGCGAAGAATGAATATAACCAGGAAAAAAAAGATATGCAAAGAAAACATTCTATAAAATATATGCTAAGTTACTGAAAATTTCTTCAATTTTTCACAGATCTATTGCATCACAACACGAGACTTCCTGTTTTGTCTTGATCATTTTCCTTTTCCAAAGAATGACAAATCACAGCGATATCACTTCCACGTTTGTCAACTTCACACTGTCCTCGTATCACATTTAACTCCTCCGTCATGACGTTATTTAAATAATTCACCCCTGAAATTTCATAATGAACTATTCCAACCTTTGAATTGGAAGAGTTCAAATGTGTCTTCAGGTGTGAATTAGTTGATGAAGGATATCACACAACTTCATCCATCACCAGATCTACCTCCTCACCCTCCTCAGTATGTGTGTAAAATGAGGCATGGAGCATTATCACGAAAAATGAGGCACCTGAAAAAAACAAAAGCCATCCCATGATAACATCTTATGATCTTATGGTCAACAGTAAACTGTAACTTAAACCCTTGTTATGTTTTTCGTTACAAACTTTTAGTGCCATTTCTTGGTGACATTTCACATTCCAAATATTTAGTGTTTAATCAAAATGACAATTGGAAAAGATACTGATCATTTTAGATTTACGATCAATCTGACAAATAACAACCCATGTTAATGACTTTGAGAACATTAAGTGATGGAACATTTGACAAGGAACATGAAGTGATGGAACATTTGACAATGAACATGAAGTGATGGAACATTTGACAATGAACATGAAGTGATGGAACATTTGACAATGAACATGAAGTGATGGAACATTTGACAATGAACATTAAGTGATGGAACATTTGACAAGGAACATTAAGTGATGGAACATTTGACAATGAACATTAAGTGATGGAACATTTGAAAATGAATATTAAGGTTTTTTTCAAGTTTTTTATACTTACCAATTATCCAGAAAACTGCAGAGCCGGCACCAGCCAACCAAAACAGAGGGAAAGAGCACAGGCCCACGGCTCCATATTGCTGGGAAACACTTAGCTCCTTACCTATAAATACAGCATACATCAGTTAACATTTATCTCCTTACCCACAAATACATCATAACATAGCTGTCAAACTTCCCTCATTATGAGGGAGACTCCCTCATTTTGACCAAAATTTACCAATCTCCCTCGAAACTCTCTCATTCAAGTCCAAACTCACACAAACTCAAAATCTACATCCTGTGGTCAAATAATCTCCTAGTTACTGCAGGGTGTGTGTAATCATCATAACAGGTGTGTCTGAATCAAATGAATGCTTTTTAGAGTTATTTTGATACAACAAAAGGGAAAGATAAATTGAGCAACGCAGTTTCAGTGACATTTTACGCACTATCTCCCTCACATGGAATGTGGCATGATCTCCCTCACGGAAAATGTGGCATGATCTCCCTCACGGGAAATGTGGCATGATCTCCCTCATTGGAGGTTTCAGGGGTTCACACCTATGCATAACATAACATTTATCTCCTTACCTTCAAATAAAACCTATACTTACATTATTACCTATTAACTCATTAACCCCTACATATTTAAACTTGACTTGCCCAGTCTTTGATTTGGTAAGGTTTAAATGTGAATGTAGGGGTGAATGAGTTAAGGCTACAGGTACCACTGTATCAGCTATAATTGCAGTACAGTATGAGGAGCTGTAACAGAGGACAAACACCATTACTCTGTCACAAGTAGTTCAGAGTTAGAGATGGAGGTGGATTGGACAAGTCTCCAGAATGAATCCAGATTCCATCCCTAGGGTAGCAATGAGATGGACACCACTACGAAAAAGTAAGAGAGGAAGACCAAACGAAACCTGGAGGCGGTCTATTGGGAAAAACTTAACAAAAAAAGACTGGAAATGAGAACAAATATACCAGTGGTCCCAAGACAGACTACATTGGAAATCTCTGGTGATGGCCTTACATTTTTATGTGCAACCCAGGACTGAGAGGACTAATTACTAACATAAAGGCTGATCATTTTAAATTTGAAAATATAACATATTCAATTTCAAACTTGAGCTTGTAAATATGGTGTAATATGGGGAAACAATGATCAGATATAGTGAACTTTACCCATTATAGATAACTTCTTCTCCTGGTTCTTGATGTTGATGATGTAGCATGCTCCTAAACATGCTGCTATGGCAACGAGTAACAAAGGGGAGGTAAGTCTGCAACAGGAAAAAATTATATACATATATACAGAGTAAACTAGGTAATTCTGCTTTCAACAAAGGCAACAGACAGGTATTAAAATAGCTTGACAGACTCGTTTTTTTTAATTAAATTTCGCACATAATGATTTGCAATAGTATATCTCCACGAAAACAAACTATTTCATTAAAAAACATTTTTCTTATTCAATTCAGGCATTTCAATCAATTTCCCTTTACATACCGGTAATGGTAAACTTTCAGTCAGATCAAACAAAATTAAATAATGAATATTGTCAGTTTTGTTCCAATCACTGTATTACATGAAATTACAGTCGTATACTAAGATGGAAGTGAGTATGATATGATCATCTTTATCACTTTTTATGGTAATTCAGACGAAAAACATCCGTAATTATTTTATTGTACATTGTACCAGGTTATTGTGACATCATAATGGATAATTTCACACCTGTCACATAAAACATCCAGTGATGGGGTTATCAATGATAAAAACATTCACCCCTAAAGTCATGTTTGAAATTAAAGACTGGGCAAGTCCAGTATAAATATGTAGGGATAAACTTTCAAAGTACCAAAAACATAATCGTTGCACAGGTAATCATAGAGGGACAGGCTTCAACAGTTTCTCAAAACATCCTTCATTCCTGATATTTTGTAATGAATTATTCAAATCTTTGAATTGGAGGAGTTAAATGTGTCTTCAGGGATGAATGAGTTAACCAAAAGTTTTTTACTTCCTTATAAAGTTCCTCATAAGGAAGCTAAGGCAATGTTTAAGCTGTTATGGAAAAGTCCTATCTGAAGCTATGACATAAGGTACATTTGTCAAACTATATTGGGGCTTCATATGCAAGACCACACTAATGAATCAGAAAGCTCGAGTTTATTGTGCGGACGAATATATTCACGAGTGCGCGCAATAAATGAGTGCTTTCTGATTCGTTGGAAAAACACAAGTGTGTAGTCTTGCTTTTATCACATTCCTTCCAAATTTGGTAGAGATCGATACAAAGATTTTATAAACTTTGATATTTTTTGCAAATACCGGGAACTTTTCAGTTCGCCATGACAAGGGGATTCCCATAAAAAGTAATTCCGGCTAGTATGGTGATACAGTAGATTCCTCTTGATATCACTTCCCATTTGTCAGAGAAAAACATGATATTAACCGAAACATGACATAAACAGAATACATATTTTCTGATGTTTTTCAACCCTCAAAACCGGAAGTGAACTTAGTCAAATGCCTAAGTGATGTGGCTCTATGAAGAAGATTGATATTTTGTAACTAACCTTGTTCTATACCCTAGTTGAAATATAGATATAAGTATAGAAATAAATTTATTATTTGTATTTCATTTCAGTACGCAGTTACATTTCATATTGTTAAGTAGCAAAATGA